TAAATCTTGGGACAGCATTCCTCTGTTAAAGGTACTAAAAAAGACACGGTCAGTGCAATCTGTCTTCTGATTAAATCCCTTTTTACCCCTAGTTCTGCACTAGCTCACATAGCAATACTTGTATATCACTGAAGCGTTACACACAGAACACAACCCATGAGGTTGTGGCTGCTCACTAGTTTTGAGGAGCACTGACATTTGCTTAATCCTGGATGGCACGATGCAGAAAGACTAAAAATACACCTGAGAAATGAAATGTAATAGTTGGATTAAAGTCTGAGCTCCAAAAATAGGGTGTTGAGTAACCATGTCTAAATAGCAAAATCGGAGCGTTCAGCAAGCTCCGGCTCTGTAAGGAGCTCTTTCTTTTGACAGCTTATGGAGCTTGTGCAAGCCTCCAGCTGAAGTGTTACAGCCTTATCTTTCACCATAGAGTCATAAAAGCTGGAAAGACCAATCAGATCATCCAGACTCAGACAATTCAATGGGATTGTGGTTGGTTGTTCCATTGTAAATCGTGAATTCCTCCCAGGGTTGTGGTGTGGTGGCACAAACTCAAGTCTTGTGACCAAAACACGTGTTTTCTTTGAGAAGAGGTTGTGACACTTATAATAACCTCAGAAACAGAGAATTCCAGGAATCCCAGAGGATAAAACCCAAAGTACTCTGAGATACAAACGCCGTTTGTGGTCTCGCTGGTACTTTCCCAGTCTAAGTTGGGAAATTGGAAACAAAAGTGAATTTCCAAAAAATCACAGCGGAGATCCCCACTGAGCCATGCAGCCCCAGGTCTTCCTCATCTCCTGGATTCCTCGATGGTAAAGTCATGCTGAACTCCAACATGGAGCAATTCCTCTCATCCAGCTCAGGAGCAGCCTTGGGAAAGGTAGGATGCTTTCCTGCAACAGGCTCACACCCTTCTGCTTGGCTCTGTTGGGGTATTCCTCTGGGCAGTGAAAGCCTTTTATGTGAATTCTGCCAACATTCAGCCAGAAATGTCATGTTGTAAAGAGGAATCAACATAAATGCATCAATCCTATAACAAATGACTGTGGGTTTCATGCGGTGTATTTTAGTTCCTAGCAGAAAACGGTCTTTCTCTGGTGCTAAACACTGTGTTGTCATCACTGTTGGCTTCTTCTTTCTCCTTTTCCTCCTTCTTTCTCCTCCTCAACGTGCTTCTATGATTCCACCGTTCTCCTCTTCCTCCTCATCTCTGCCACCACGGTCACCATCCTTCAGCTCCTCCTCATCAGCTCCATTTTTCTTTTGCTCTTTCTGCTCCTCTTATTCCCCTTATTATCATAACCATCACCTTCCTCTTCCTCCTCCTCATCACCACCACAGTCCTCCTTTTCTTCCTCTCTATCCTCCTTCATCATCACAGTCACAACCACTCTCCTCCTTCTCTTCCCTTCCTTCATACTCATCATCTTCATCATCACTACCATCACCGTCCTCCTTTTCTTCTCCATCATCTTCATCACCATTAATGCCACCCCCCCTTCTCCTCTTCATCATCATCTTCATCATCACCCTCTTCCTCCTTTTCTTCTTTTTTTCTTCTTCTTCATCATCATCAGCAGTACAACCACCCTCCTTCCCTTCTTCTCCATCATCATCAAATTTAGCTCATTAAGTCACTTGTAGCACCCATAGCATAAGGTATTTTGCATTTATACACACCTGGGTAGAAGGACTGTCAGGTCAACTCCATTTAGCACCATCTCACAGCTGTGGGTCACACTGACTTCTGCCCCTCCAAACCCCACGCTTGCATTAAACATTTGCAGCATTAATTGGGTGTAACCACAGCGTGACTAATTGCCATCGTGGCACCAGAAAATCAGCTCCTTCTTCCATTAGAGAGGCTCAGTAGTACTGTCGTGCCATATGGCAAAATTATAAACATTGTAATTACTTCCTTGATAAGGAAATAATGTAATATATGTATTTGAAATGACTTCTTTCCAGGTGTCACTGCTTTGGGAGAGAGAGGCCATATGCTGCAATGAGATAAGATAAAATTAAATCAGTTTGATGGGAAATGAGCCCGGTGTGCCAATCTGATCTGTACAAATGGTTTCTAGAAATCTTTGGTACTTAGTACCACTGGATAAGCCATCCTCACAGCTATTCCCCATTAATGACCTCAAATATTCCTCAGAGGTAGTAATGCTTAAAGATGATCTCACATCCCCACTGGTGATATGCACTTAGTGCAGGAACACGCAGCTCAACATTCTTAAGAAATGAAATAGTTCCTGGATGAACACCCCAAAAACAGCAAAAACAGATTTATTGTCCCTTTGTAAACAACAATTTGGGTTGATTTTAGCTGGGAAATACACCCAGTGGAATATTTTTACCCAAACAAAAGTCTGCTGCTCTGCATCTTGGAACAAGCATTGTGCCTCCAAAGACATGGAATCATGGATGCAACACAAGTCTTGTTCTGAATCCAGCTTTTCTTACTCCAAAATCTTCAGCGTAAGAGTCGTAGTCAACAGTACAATCTTCCTCCATCCAAGGAGGAACAAACAAACATCAGCTGCAAAATACAATAGAGTCATTGGATGAGGCAAAAGCTCATCAGCTATTTATATCCATCCTCCCCCAAAGGCAAGAAAGCCCAAAAATTATTTTTCAGATGCTATGAAAGACAGCCCTTATGTTTGTAGGGGTGGTGAAAGCCTTTGAAAATACAAAATTCGAGCTCAGTCCCAGGTTATCTCCATATCCCATGGTTAGGGATGCTCTAAGTCACATTATTGTCCTGGTGGGTAGGGCAAAATGAGAAGGATCCTGTGATGCCATGCACTGAGCTCAGCACACAAAGAGCTTCCTTATGGAAGGGTTTAATGGGTTGATGCCCAAAATTGTGGCCTCTGATAGCTCTGATTTTTGTAGAAAATCCTCCTATGGGAAATAAGGCATTCCCAAGAAACACATTTTTCCAGCTTTGCTAACATAAACTTACGTGTTGTTTACATTATCCAATAAAATTTTCGTAGCTACATGGTTTATTTTTACAGGCATTGCCAAAAAATCCCTTTGGGATCAGTAGTGAAAAAACATTGTGTTTTTGAGGGTTTTTTTTTGAATGAGTGCTCGAAGAAGAAGAGTGGAAACTTCTCAAACCCCAGGGACCTCCCATACCAAATCCCGGCGATGTTGCCCTCAACTGTTTACTGCTGGTGAACTCTAACCCACTGATTGCTCCTTGTAACACTCATGAAAAATCCTCACCTGTCCAGAGTTCACAGACTGAAGACTGTGTTCAATCCACAGTGGAGTGCCTTTTAATATGGAGCTTTAGGAATGTGAGATTTGCTTAATTTGCATGCACTTAATTTGCATGCAATTGGTGCAGCGCTTTGATCTGCAGGATCCTGAATATTTCTGCTAACAAATCTTGGCTACATGCAACCAATTCTCAACGTTTCCAATCTTGCTCTTTGTGAAATATGTTTGGAAGGGTTTAATGATTGATCAAACGGTTGCCAACGCAGTACTGTTCCACCATAGAGGTCGTCGAATGGTAATAATTTAACTGCTTCCCAAGAAGGATTTCTGGTTGGACATGGGAAGTTATATCCTTCCCTTTGGCTGTAGTAAAGCTATTCACCAGTATTCACCCATCAAGACAGAATGAGTTGTGGTCAATGGAAAAGGACCTGGAGGCACACAGAGCATGGAGCCACGAGGTTGTCTGGGGAGGATTTATTGTACAGGCATCTTCCAGGGCCTTGCATCATGGCTTCGTTTCCAGTTTGGCATCAGCAAACTCCAGCACTGAAGGCCTCTGATATCTGCATCCGTGAGGTCTTCCACCCAACCCAACCCAACCCAACCCAACCCAACCCAATCCAGCCCAGCCCAATGCAACCCAATGCAATTCACCCCCCTGACCCAACGCAACCCAACAAAAGAGAGTTTTTGTTGAGAGTTTGGTGTGAAAGTTACGCAACCAGAGCACAAAGAAGCTTTTAGCATTGGATCCAACCAGGGGCACCTGGGGGGGGGGGGGGTGACTGCATTGCTCCATAGTTCCACATCTCCATTGGGCAACCCATCCCCAGGCTAAAGACTTCATTGTTCCCTACTAAGAACTGCATCCCCTCCAGATGCTGCATCACAGCGATACTGCATCCTACTCCAAGTTCTGCATCCCACCCCAGGTACTGCATTCCACCCCAACCACCACATTCCATCCTGGGTACCACATCTTCTCCTCCTTGGGTATCCCATCCACCCCAGTATTACATTTCCTCTGAAGTAATGCACCTCCTGATACCTCAATCGATTTGAACCCATCTTGCCTGGTCTAGATTTTCGATTTAGGCAAGACATTCACTTTTTGTGCTAGAGGTCTTCATGTTGTCTTTTGTCCCAGGTGAATGTGAAACTCTTCCCTCTTCCAAACGACATTCCTGATGACGTGGGTTATAATGAATTTCCCATCAGAATGACATCCCTTCTCTCTCTTTTTCTATTATATCCCCACTTAGGATATCACATCCTCCTCACATAACACACTATTGCATCCTCTGGGAGTAATGCATCTCCCTCCAGTATTGCATCCCTCTTTGGATACTGTATCTTTCTCCACTTTGGGTACTGCGTGCCTCCTCGAGTACTGCATCCCCCTTTTGGGTATCACATCCTCTTTTTGGGTACGGCATCCTTTGAGTTTGACATCCTCCCCACTTTGGATACAGCATCTCCACTTCGAGTATTGCATTCCCTCTTTGGGTATTGCATCGCCCGAGTTTTACATCCTCCCCCTTTTGGGACCCTCTTTGGGTCCTTCTTTGGGTACTTGGCTACCGCACCTCTTTGGAGTCCCGCATCCCGTTCGCATCCCTCACACCCCCACCGTCCTCCTCCTTCCCCTCCTCCCCCAGCCCCATCCCTCTCCATTCCCTATTGGTCGACGTGTCCCCACCGATCACCCCGTGCTGAAACCGAAAGCGAAAGAGGGAAGAAAGAGCGAGGCCATGGCCGGCCGCGGCGGCAGCGGATCGCGGAGGGGCGTCGGCGTGGAACCCCTCGGGGAGCGCTGAGCCCCCCCGCCCGGCCCGAGACCACCGCCCATGGATCGGCTGCTGCTGCTCTGCGCTGCTCTCGCCCTGTTTCTGCCCTATAGCGCCTCGGACAGCGGTAAGCAGAGCGGTGCGAGGGCTCTCGGCTTGCTGCTGGGAGTGCGCGCGTCTCACTCGTGCTCCTACGAGTGTCCGCGATTTACTCGTGGGTATTGGAGTGGGGACACACGCTGCGCGCTGGGGTGGATCACAGGGCTCTCCGCGTGGCTGTGCTGCACACAGATACTCCAGGTTTCCCTCTTGGTGCCCACGCAGCACCCACTCATGACCAGGATCCCCTCGTGGTGTCCATGGGGTGCCCACAGTGTACCTCAATTGTCCCCCACTGAGTGCCTGTAACACTTCCCCAGCAGCATCCGTGGAAGCTGGGGGTGATTTCAGGATCTCAGTGCTGCACCACGGACCCATAAGAACCCATAGGATCTGAGTGCTGCACACACAAACCTATAAGGACCCATGGGATCTGAGTGCTGCACACACAGACCCATAAGGACCCATAGGATCTGGATGCTGCACACACAGACCCATAAGGACCCCTAGGATCTGGATGCTGCACACACAAAGCCATAAGGACCCATAGGGTCTGGATACTGCACACACAAAGCCATAAGGACCCATAGGGTCTGGATACTGCACCATGAATCCTTAAGGACACACAGGATCCAGGTGCTGCACCATGATCCCATAAGGACCCATAGGATCTGGATGCTCCACTGTTGACCCACATGATGGACCCATAAGGACCCTCGGGAAATGCATCTCACTGGGATTTCCCCACAGAGACATCCAGGAAAGGCATCTGAATGGGATTTTGTGCTGCATGTTTAACATATGGACTGCCAGGAGATTCATCTCAGTGGTATTTCCTCATATGGATCCCCAGGACATGTATCTCAATGGGATTTTGCACTGTGTGTTTCCTGCACAGATGCCCCGGATCTTTCAATGAGGCTTGGTAAACTTTTGTGGAAGTGCAGGAAATAGAGCTGCCCGCCAAAAAATCTCTAGGATAGCTTAATGCTCCTTCTTTTTTGCTGCCAAATCTGCAATATGATGGAAAATGAGCATGTTTTGTAGTAAATCAAGCACAGAAGAGCATTCCCTGAAGGCACTGTGCTCCTGCTCTGCCATTTAAACGACATTCCCAGCAGTGGTGATTCAATCAGGATCATGATTTGGGGCAGAAAGCACCATTGTGGGCTAATTGTGGCTATGCATCCCCAAAGAGGGGATTCTTCAGTGTCTAATGGTTGTGAGTTTCCACTGATGGGATTCTCCAATGTTTAACAGCTGTTGTGCATTCCCACATCTGGGATTCTCTGGTGTCTAGTGGTGGTTGTGCATCAGTTCCCAGAGAAGGGATTCTGCATTGTCTAACTGTGGTTTTATCTCACACATTCTGGGATTTCCTGCCTTTGGGAAGGGTGTGGGATACTCATGTGGCAGCAGCTGGCCTTATCCTTTGGTTTCTCCCATCTCCTGGCTCAGTGTCTGCTCCTTGGCACCATTGCCAGCCCATGTCATAGCGTCGTGGTGCTGCTGTCGGTGGGATGCTGTATACTGGTGGGTTGGAGAATGCCTGGGAGCAGGTGGGAATGCCCAAAAGTGTCTCCATGCCCCGCCATGCTTCCATCCCTGTCCCTATTGCTATCATGTTCCTTTCCTCATTGCCATCATGCTTTCATCCCTACTGAGCTTCTATCCCCATTGCCAGCACGCTCCTCCCCCTATCATTCCCCTCTCCATGGGATGGCCACAACTGCAGCCCCAACTCCTGCTCCTCGAGAGCCCACACATCATAGAACCAAAGAATCATAGAACCAGTAGGGACCCACGAGGAGTCCAACTCCTGGCTCCACGTAGGACCACTCAAAATCCAGGCAGCTCTGACATTCCCGTTGTCATCTCCCATTCTATCTGCCCCATCCACAGCGGTGCGATGCGGCCGTCCCAAGGAAGTGGCCAATGCGATCATCGACGCGGGCGACACGGAGCTGCTCCACACCAGCCTGCGTTACACCTGCAAGCTGGGCTACAAACGCAAAGCTGGCACCTCCACCCTCATCCAGTGCGTCCTCCATCATGGCAAACCTGTCTGGACGTCCACTGAGCTGCAGTGCATTCGTAAGTGGTCGTGCCTCCAGAGATGGGACGCATTGGGATGGGCTGAAGGAGGACTAAGGGTGGTATTGCTGCTGCTGATGGTGTCTTTGTTGTGTTTACCCAAAGGGGATCCGGCTCTACCTCTGCAAACCCCAAGCCCTGAGCTCCCGACAGTGAGGACAAGCCAAAGAGGTGAGGAAGAGATGAATGTGGCAAAAACTCAACTATTGTGGTGTGGGAAGCAAAATAGAATCAGAGAGTCATAGAACTGTAGAATCACTAAGGTTGGAAAACACCTCTAAGATCATCCAGACCATCAACCCATCACCACCATGCCCACTACGCCATGCCCCTGAATAGAATCACAGCCATTAAGGTTAGAAAAGACCTGCAGTATCATAGAGTCCAATCTCCAACCCAACCCCACCATGACCACTAAGCTGTCCCTCAATAGAATCACAGAATCATTGCGCTTGGAAAAGAGCTCCAACATCATCAGGCCCAACAACCAACCCAACCCCACCGTGCCCACTAAACCATGTCCCTAACTGCCACATCTGCCCTCTTCTCCACTACAGGGAATTATCCCATTTCAAAGTGATTGAGATGTATCGATCCTTGCCACGTCCAAATTAAAACACTGCATAGTGACCAGTGCCCTAAATTAAATGGTTTTACAACATTTCCCCCTGCAGGAACCAACACCACTTCAGCAGCACTGCCTGTGCCATCACCAGAGATATCTGTGCCACCAGCAGTGCCTGAACCACCAGAGATGCCTACACCAGGAGAGGGGACAGCACTGGGGACAACCCCACTGCCCACCATCCCCATAGACCATGCTACAGGTGAGGAGATAAACCACTGTGTTTCCATAGCCAAGGGCCCTTTCTCTTTTTCAATACAATTTTTCCCTTCTCACCAACCTTTTAAATAAGATCCTCCCTGATAGTTCTCATTTCTCAGGCTTCCCTAGCTCTGCAGCTGAAATCTCTACTTTTTTTTTTTGCCAGTTTCCACCCAGACTGTGGCCTCTTCCATTGGTAAGCATTGCTGGGTTGATGGTAAGAACAAGCTGCTTTGTTTTTTTTTTTACCCTAGAAAAAACCAACAAGGGCTGTGTGAGGTTTATGCCATAATTGAGGGCAATGTTTCCAAGAGGGTCAGCATGCAGCACCCTGATTTCTTCCCTTGGCAAAGAGGTTACCTTGAAAATGCACTATAAGAGTTGTTGTAGTGTAGTTTTGACTGTTTGTGGAGCTGTTCCCTTGGCCAACCATTGGAAGATGCTCATCATCTGCCTTGTTTCTCCTTTAGGGGTCTCAATTCTGCTTGTTGTTGGTGTTGCGGGATTCTGCTACTGGAGGATGAAAATGTAGGTTTGTTGAGCACCGTGTGGCCCATCCACAAGACCCATTGCTTTCCTGAAAGCTGTGAAAGACCCTGTGGGCACTGCTGACTCTTCTCTCCCATCCCTAGGCACGCGCAGCAGAGCTACGTGGTGGCGGTGACGGCCATCCCCATGGTGGCTCCCAATACCACAGCACAGAACGATGAGATGTTGCCACCTGGTGACATCCCCATGGGCTGAGCACCAGCACAGAGCACATTGGTGTATCTACCAGCCCAGCTAGCCAGGAGGATGCTCGAAGCTTGGTGCTTCCCCAAGTGGCAGTGGCATGAGGCATGTCCCCACGTCCCCAGCTGGCCTTCAAACGGAGCATCTTCACTCCAGGGACATGTAGCTGCTCTTCTCAGCCTGAACAAGTGGATGGGATCACTCCAGTGCCAAGAGGTGAGTGGTTATTCTATCGTTTGGCTCAACGAGCAACTCAAGTTGGCATGAACTCAATGCAAATCCTAAATGGGAGCCAAAAATTAGGCTAAGCACCCAAGCACAAAGCAGGGCTGGAAAAGTTACCAATCTGGGATGCAAGGGACAGAGCAAGGCCATTAATACGGCACCCATGGGTGGCCTGAGCCCATAGATGGTGCCCATCCTCTTGCAGATTGGGAGGCCATGGTCAACGTGGTCCAAGCTGCTTGCCCTAGTAAAGGACATTTGTGGGACGAAGGATGAAGTTTGGGTGCTGGGGCTGGAGGCAGGCTGTGTAAGTAAAACCATTCCCTGGCTAGGAGCAAGGCCTGCTGGACACCAGCCCCATCCTTAGAGGTGCTTTAACCCCAAATTGCCCCCCAAACACAGAAAGCAGCACTGCTTAGGGTCAACAGAGAGCCGGGTGAGTATCCCCCCATTGTACCTTGACTCCCTCCCTGCTCTCTTCCAGCATTCAGTCATGAACCAGCAACCACAGCAAAGGGCTTCAGCTCTATCACCAGTTCAGAGGTCATCCCCTCGTCCACACTCAGGGATCTTCGGGGGCAATTTCAGCACCGATGCCAGCTGCTCGCAGGGGACTGCACGTGGGAGTGATTTGCTACAAGCACTACCAAAGCCTGAAGACAAGGACATGGCAATGATATCTGTTGTTATCCACTAATTTCCCTCCCCCCTTGCTACAAACTAGAGGTTTTGTACTGATGTTTTATACATAAAGGGTATATATTATAATGTAAAAATATGCACAGAGTGGCTGATTCTTTAGTTGGGTGTCTTGCCAGCCACAGTGACAGGGAGGATAGTGGGAATGCTGGGACAGACAGGAGCTGGTTTGGAGTGAAATGCATCCCTGTAACAGCCAGGGCTTGCTGGTGGTCTTCCAGGTAGGACTGAACCAGAGGAAAGGAGACATTCCATGACTGCAGCTCTTCACTGATGGGTATTGTGAACACCAAAACTCTGCATGGGTAGAAGTTGGCTTTGAACAACGAGGATGGGTGGCTCATGGTTGAATACAGAGCTGCAGCTGCAGCAACCCACTGAAAACTCTAACTGAGCACTGCCATCCTCTAGAGGCAAAGGGTGAAGGCAAAGTGGGGAATCATCACCCATCTGGCTCAGGTGGAAGGCAAAAAGGGCTTCATCAGCCAGCTGGAAAGCCAACCCAATGTATTCTTTCCTCACTTGTCCTCGTGTTTGTTTCACTGCTTTGGACTGTCACTTTTCTGTGAAGACACATGATAAACCAAGGTTTCCTACAAGCCCCAAATGCCATGGGATGGTTGGAAAAGAGATGGAAGGGAATGCTGGGGGTCTATGGTCCTGTGTCTGCAAGAGCTTTGCAGTTGTATTCAAACTTTCAAGTTTTGAGCAAAGTTACCTGCAGTTTTGATAAGCAGAAAGTTTTCCCGGAGTCACTGCTTCAAAAGCAAAAGGAGAGCCAACAAAATAGCTGCCATTCCACAAATAACAGTGGAAGTCAACAGGATGTGGGAGTCTTCAACAAACATTGCTCATGGCTCCAGGCTGAAGGCCAAGATCACGCCTCTACCTAAACTGGTTTCAGTTTTGATCTGTGTATGATGTGGCCTCTGGGACAACAAGCCAAGGTGTTATCTTCAGGCAGGCAGCATAAGCCACCCTCTGATTGATAGGGTCACCATCCTGCTGGTACCATTGCTACTGTGATGGCTGAAAAATAAATATAACCCAGGAAGACTTCTTAATGGGTGAGGAAAAAACAAATCATTAAAGCAGTTGGGTTTTTTTTGCCACAAACTTTATCTCTGTATTAAAAATGTTCTCTGGCTTCTTTCTGATCAGCTGTGTTAGACTGGAATTAAATTGAAGCAGTTCTTCAAATGCTGCCTCTCTTCCCTCAGTGCTTTGCTACAAAGAGAAATTAAGCCCGAAGAAACTTCTTGGCTGCAAGTAAAGCAAATGACTTAAATTCAGCTGGGAGAGATTATGACTTCCTTCTTCCCCAGCGATCCAGAACTGACAGTGAAAATGTCCCAGTTGAAACAGGCTCTGGGAAAAAGTTCATTTTCTAGGAACAACAAGCTTTTCTGGGTACTTCCCAGCATCAAGCTCCTCTTTTGTTGGATGAGGACTTCCCTGAGGCACAAAGTGGTAGAAAAGGCAGGGAAACCCCAGCAGCTTTGTCACTGAAAGTATTTTCCTGGAGATGGAGAGGATGGATGAGTAGTGCTCAAAAAAAATAAAATAAAAAAGCTGTCCTGTCCAATAGACTGTGCTGTGCATATTCTTCTGTGCAGTGATGCAGGTCACGCTGACCAGCTCCTGCAGGGCTTGAGAAAAGGTCTCACCACTCCGTATAGACAACCTGGATGGTTCCTCTCGGAGCTGGTCCCAAGAATCCAACCTGATTTTGGAGCATGGATGTGACAGCAGTTGTCATCCTGCACTCAGTACAGCTCTGGGATTGAGGCAATGGCTCTGGGACTTGCAAGGCTTCGTTAGAGCACGATGGGCTCTTCATGAAGTGCTGGGAGGAAGGCCAGGGGTGTCATAGTGCCAAAACGCTTCTGCACACAGGAATAGCAAAGGTAGCCACCCATATTCCTGCTGCCGTTGCTCTGTGGAGGAAAAAGATTTGAGAAAAAAGTGAGGCTGGAGGAATGCAGCCTCCTGCTCCCAGCCCTGGGCTCAACCTACTGGATCAGATAAGAGTGCAGTGATGTGCCCAAAGTATCTCCTACCACCTCCCATGCAAAGGAATCCACTGTGGGACAGTTTGCTTAATAGCTGCAAGCAAATGTCTCCATGCAGGTTTTCTCTGGGGAGGAAGAGGATGCATGGCCAGGCAGTCGATATTTCCTCTCATACATGTGCATGGCTCTTTGCAATGATAGGGAGTGAATCCTGCTCTTATCGCTGCCTATATTCCCTGCTGATGGATCAGAGCCATCTCTTATCTCCTGTCCCAGACATGGAGACCCACTGGATTTACCATGTGCTACGTGACTGCACTTTCTGGGTGAAGACCAACCCCAAAGCCATAAGGTGGAACTCAAGCCAAAACTGGACCCAAAAATCAGATTGTCAGCCTCTTGCTAGTTCACACACAGCTCCTGGCAGGGACAAAGCACGCTCTGTTCATCTCTAGGTGGATGTTTGATGGCCTAAGCAGAGTGAGGCAGATGCCCCAAGACAAACTGGGGTATGACACAAGAAAAAGCCCCAAAACGCCTCCACTTGAGACCACAGTGTCATGAGAGAGGTCAAGACCAGAGTGACTCTGTAGGAACTGCACCACTATCCCAAAATCATGTATTCAAGAGGTCAGAAATTAAGGGCTGAGCCACAGGACACTCCTTGCTCACTTCCCCAGAAACTTAGCACTGAAGTTGTCCCTTCCCCAAGAGATAGCTCAGAATGATGCCAGCCATCCCATGGCAAGAGCACCCTGTGAAGTCTTGTGATTGAAAACTATGATCTTATTGGTCTTTGTGGCTTGCTTGCTCAAGAAAAAGAAGCAGTGTTTGGAGGGGACATACATGAATCAGAGGCAGCTTCTTCACAACCAGCCTGGTGCCAGATTGCAAGATCTGTGTACACGGTTGTGCAGAACAAGCAACCCCGGTCTTCACAGCCTCACCCATCAGCTCCACTCGAAGGAAGTGCTCCTAGAAGACAAGAAAAGCAGAACAACAATACAATAACATTCATAGGGAGCTGAGATATGGGAACAGTTGATTTTTTGGAGTTAATTTTGTTGGGTTTTTTTTTGAGTGCCCTGGGAAATGACTTGCAACAGGGCGTGCTTATAAAAATACTGCCAAAAAGTGCCTAGTGACCAAGCAGAACTCAGTGGCAGCTGGCAAGGAAGGAAGCAAAGTAAGGGCACTGCAACAGAAAAGGGAACCTTGCTCTGAGATAAGGAGGGAGGCTATGAAGGCAAGTCCAAAAAGGATTGGGGAAGAACACTGCACCACTGGAACTGTTTGTCTTGCTACTGAAAGCACAGTGCAGAGCAGAGGGAATTGTGCACAGTGTTCTCAGCTATTGAGGAGGTCGCAGTCCACCCTCAGCATGAATCTCAGGGTGATCTCACTATAATCCTATTTTAAGTTCCTCCATCACAAAAGACCCTCCAAATGTCCTTGCAGACACTCGAGGTCAAGTTGGAGCAGGCTCTGAGCAACCTGATTGAGGAGTCCCTGTTCTCTGCAGGGAGGATGGATGAGATGCCTGCTCTGTTACACATCAGGCAGTGCTGCTCAGCCAAATTGATGGGTTTGCTTTGGAGCAACGTGCCACAAAGTGCAGCTATCAGAACCCCACGTTGCCCTGCTCCAGGTTTTGCACACTTTGGAAGAATTTCACTTACCCCTGCCAATGCCAAAAGGTGCTCCAGGGACTGTGACATTAACAAGCATTTCTTTGCACGTGTCACTGCAACATAAAGCAGGTTCCATTCATCCTCAGGATGCATGCCTAGATAGAAGGAAAGATCATAAGTGCACAGCTCTGTCATGCTGTAACTTCAGCTGGTGTACCTGAAATGACACCAGGAGCTCTTTTAGGAAGTTCGCTCTTGCAAACAGAGCTGCCAACAAGCCCTCTGTTTTCCTGCTGACTGGAAAGCTTGAAAAACTGTAAACATGTTTTGGATTTCTGGATAAAAAACTAAGGAATGACTCAGAAGTTGATTAAGAAGGAGAGAAGATGCGAAACGAAAGTTTTTGAGCTGGAAAGTGTGATGTATTATCTGGCTCTTTGCAAATAGCAAAATAACTAATTAGATAACTCATCACCAGAGCTTGAAGATGCCACTGGAATCAATAAGAATACTTTTCTAAATAACTTCCGTTCTCAAATTCTGATCAAAATGTGGCATCGTTGAGATTCCAACATCGTTGGGTTGAGATTTAGTCCAACGCACTGAGACACTGGGAAAAGCTTAATAACTGATTCAGAAACTCTGCCCCCTATAGAGGTTTTTTTTCTAATGAAGGATTTGAAAGAGGCATGTTAGAATGACGTTTGATAGGTCTTTTCCAGTACAACATCATTATTTTTTATGCAGATCCTGAGGCAGAGAAAGATTCAATGACATTCTCAAGGCCAGACAATGAGTCATAGGCAGAAATGGTGAATGAATGGCAGTCTTGATTCAGGGACTGGCTTACACAAGTGGCTTTCACTTCCCTCGTCACCAAAGGTCCCAGCATATCCTAATCCATTTGCTTCTGCATAAAGGGTGCAACCGTGGGAGAAGAAGATGGGCTCCCAACCACATCTGGTTGACCCTTGGGCTTAGCATGACCTGCATGAAGCTACTGATGAATACATTGTCCTTGATGGGCCAGCTCCTTGGGGACAGTTTTGACAAACAGCTTCTAATTGGCTATGTTGTCATTCATTATCCTGGAAGAAAGTTGTGGGCAGGGTCAGGTGAAGGCTTTCCTGCATGATTTTACACTGATACAGACTGATGTTTAATTTCAAATGCCTACGGGATGATACTCATTGGCTTCATGGGGTGACAATGGATATCTTGGAGATTAGAAGTCCTGCAGCACAGTGGTAATGCATTGGAATAGGCTGCCCAAGGAGGTGGTGGAGTCACTGTCCCTGGAGATGTTAAAGAAATGTGGACATTTAGCACTGAGGAACATTGGTTAGTGGGCATGGTGGGGATAAACTGGTGTTGGACTTAAGCTTGGTATTCTCCTACTGTCAGAGAACAAGGTGATTCTGTGACTTGTTAGAACA